AGAGCATCGCCCCGCCGAGGCCCATCGCCCGCGCGTAGGCCGCCTTCAGCGTGATCGAGCGGACATTGTCGTAGCCCACCCACTGCCGGCCCCAGTAGGCGTAGGGGGCGAGGTGGTGGCGGTCCCAGACGATGGTCATCGCCGCGGGGTCGCGTTGTTGCATCTCACAGATCTAGATTGAAAAAATAAAAGGTTTTAGAATACCAAAGATTTAGGGTCAATTTTGGAAAATACNAGATTTAGAGTCTACTTTGTAAAATACCTCATTGTAGCCCAGCGAGCCGCCCTCTCGAGTGTACGGTCCTGCCTGGCCCTTCTGCGGCGCCGGCGCCCCCAGCCCATTTGCATTCGCTCGACCTAGCGTAAAGGAGCGGCCGTAGCTGCCCATGCCGAGGACAATTTTGCTGCGAGGTGCCCCATTGGAGATCCAGTAGTTGATGGAGTAGTTCTGGTGAAAGCGTTTTAAAGAAATGAAAGTTTTGGAAAAGGGAACAAAATCAAAGATAATCACTTACCACATTGAGTATGCGATCATTGCCGTACTCGTCGGGGCGGGCGTAGAGCGGCGCATTGTGGCCGGTCTTGGTTTCCCAACCGCCTAAAATTTTTAAAGATTAGTTTTAAAAAAGCAGTTCTTGAAATCACTCAAAAGACGTTACCATGATAGTCGTAGGTCATCACATTGATGATGTCCAGGTACTTGGACACCTGTGGAATGTCGTAGGCAGGGTCGGCAAAGTACTTGCCCGCAGAGACGGCCGCCGTCAGGAGGTAGCCCTTCGGACGGAAGGCTTCTTTCAGCTCCTGCAAAAGGAGGACAAAGTTGCGCTTGTCCTCCGGTTTGCCACCTCGAGAGGCGGGGTACTCTGTAGGGAAAAAATAAAAGTTCAAATTCTTAAAAATCCAAAAAATATCCAAACATACCCCAATCCATATCCAGCCCCTCAAAACCGTAGCGGTCCAGAAACTCGACAACGCTGCGCACAAAGACCGCCCTCGACTCTCCGCTGGAGGCCATGTTGGAGTACTTCACCGAGCCCTCATTCCAGCCGCCTATCGCGATCAGACTCTTCAGCTTCGGATTGACCGTCTTCAGGCCGGTGAAGCGCTGAAATGCGCCCTTGCCCCAGTTGTCTTTTAGGTCATTGTACGGATCCAGAGCCCGAATGCGGCCATCAGAGCCGAGGCCGGCAAAGCCGTAGATGATGTGACTGCAGAGGAAGGGGTCGATCTCCTCCACGGGAAACTTGCCCTGCCCGGGTCGGTAGACGGCCCAGCTGCCGTAGTAGCAGACCACTTTCAACGGGCTTTCATCGTCTTCTCTTTCGTGAGATGAAGTTGAGAGGATAGGTCTCAGCGAATTGGGTCCCTTACTCTGAGGGTAGTGCTTGAGAGAAGTGGTGAGGTGAAGAAGTTGAAGAAGGATGCAAAAAACGATAGTAGTGGTGGACATGATGATAAAGTTGAAATTTGAAGTTTACCACCGTTAGAGAATGCTGTTGGCCATCGGATCGCGCCGCCGCTTTTACCCGATCCCCCGTGCAGGTGCTTTTCCTTTTAAACTCTCTCATTTTTAGTAAAGGGGTAAACTTGAAAGCTTTTCTAGCTGCATTCTTTGCTGAAGGAAGAGATAACGCAGAATGGGCAACCCTTCTGCTGATATGAGGGAGAAGGAGAAAACCCGTTTTATCGAGCAATGACCGTGGGCTGCTGCATCTGAAGCAAAAGTCAGTGGCATCCACCGATGAATTCTTAATCAGGTGCCGTAAACAGGCACACAGTCATTCAGTCATCCCTCAACTCTTTTCTTTTTTATTGCCAAAATCAGTGTTGTTGCTGCTGCTGGCCCTGCTGATTCAGCTGGTCAATCTTTGCCTGCACTGCCTCCAGACTACTGTAGAAGGTGGCCAGCTCAGCGTGGGAAAAGTTGACCGACAGATGAGAAGAGGGCACTTCGTTTTTATTCCCATCATCAGCAGAGGACTTCTGAAAGACAAAGTCCAGCTGACCGAGGGGCAGCCTCCGGTCCGCCTCATAGGAGCTTTCTGTCAGCAGCTGCAACTTCCAGGTAACGTCAGCCAGAAGGTGGTCAGAGGTGGAGTTCGAAAAGGAGGCCTCTTTCAGGCGCTCCACAATGTCGGCGGCGTTCGCCTTCCAAGCGGTGACGAGGAGTTCGGTGCGGGCCGCTTCGAGGCCTGCTTCAGCCAGCGCCCGCTGAAATTGCTTCGGCTTGACCACTGTCCGTGAGACGTGGACCAGCAGGCTGTGAAAGGATTCCACTAGTAGAGAAGCTGATAAGCTGATTTTACTCGGCAAAAGACTGGTCAGCTTTTGCAGACTGTCCGGCGAGAGCGACGGCCAGTTTGAGCTGGTCGGTGAGCGAAGCTCGCTGAGGATAGCCTCAAAGGCGCCCGTTACCAGTCGCTGAAAGACGTCGTCCGGTAGAGTGTTTAGCTGGCTGCTCAGGTTCGATAGGCTGTCGAAAAAAAGAAAAAGAGTTAATAAGCCGTTAGTTGAATGAGGAAGTGAAAGGAAATGTGTGTGTGTGTGAAGGGGTAGAAAGTGGCAAGAAGAAGAGGCGAAGGAACTTTCAATCCTTTTCTAGTTTTCCTTCAGTGCCGCAGCAGCAGTGAAAGGGCAGCAACCTCGCTGAGAGCTGACCATCAGTGCAGAGCAGACATCGACCCGAATATCTCCGAATCACTGAAGCACTGACCTCGCTGAGAGAGAGAGAGAGGGTAAAGATATTTTGTTGATATCTTTTTAGATGAGAGTAAGAAAAATAGAGGATGATGACTTTGGTAGCCAAGTTCAAATAAAAAAAAACTTGGTTTCACAAAAGATAGTTGGGATCAGATCCTAAGAGACTTTTACCTTTCAGGGTCCATTTTGGAAAAAGCGATGATGATGATGATGAGGCTGCTTTATTTGTTGTAACTCCAATGTTGCAAAACACAGTAGCTCACAAAATTGGTGGCGTTTCTACAAATGAACACAAAAAATCAGCACCGGCTTCCCCAACAGACAAACAGACAAAAACAGAAATCAGCTGTTGTGTCAGAGAGGCTGCTGAGTGAACAGCACAACAGTGCACTGCACTCTGCACATGCATTTTTCAGCAGTGCACGGTTCAACTGACGGCTTTTGGCCATTGTCAACGACCGCCTTCTCGGGTCCCGCGAGCGAAGCGAGTCGGTCAAAACCGGTCGTTGACAATGGCCAAATGCCGTCAGTTGAACTGTCAACTAAATTATCAAAAGAAGCATGTGGTTCACAACCCAAAATTTTCAATTTTCATCGCGAGGGTGCACGAGTCAGAAGACACTGACAATTACCAGGCGGTTCTAGACCTTGTCGCTGNGAAGCATGTGGTTCACAACCCAAAATTTTCAATTTTCATCGCGAGGGTGCACGAGTCAGAAGACACTGACAATTACCAGGCGGTTCTAGACCTTGTCGCTGGTAAGTAAT